AAGCTTCCTGCCATCCAGGACCTCTATACCAGACGGTGTCAGAGGAAGGCCCTCAAAATTGTCAAAGACTCCAGCCACCCTAGTCATAGACTGTTCTCTCTGCTACTGCACGGCAAGCGGTACCGGAGTGCCAAGTCTAGGTCCAAAAGGCTTCTCAACAGCTTCTACCCCCAAGCCATAAGACTCCTGAACAGCTAATCATTGCTACCCGGACTATTTGCACTGCCTCCCCACCCCCACTCCCCTCTTTTATGCTTTTACGCTGCTGCTACTCTGTTTACAATTTATGCATAGTCACTTTAACTCTACCCACATGTACATATTACCTCAATTACCTCGACTAGCCGGTGCCCCTGCACATTGACTCTGCACCGGTACCCCCCTGTATATAGCCTCCCTACTGTTATTTTATTTTACTGCTGCTCTTAAGTTATTTGCTTTTATTTTTTTTACTTAACACTTTTTTTTTTTTATCTTTAAAAACTGCATTGTTGGTTAAGGGCTTGTAAGTAAGCATTTCACTGTAATGTCTACACCTGTTGTATTCGGCGTATGTGGCAAATAAAATTTGATTTGATTTGACTGTTTAAAGTGGTAATTCAACCATGGTGTTCTTTTGTTACTGAAGCTTATATATCAAATAACCTGACAATGATCCACATCATATGGGTAGACAAATAATGTAAGTGCGTTATGCAGCAAAACACAACTATCTTTCTTTTAGGAGGCAAACTAGTAATATGAATCACTGTTGATCCATCCTGTTCTGATCTAATGAGATGGATGTAGGATTTTCTACGGAATCGAGGCCTTTCCCAGTCATTAAGGACGACTGAACTCAAGTTAGGGGTTACATATCAGACTCTCCTATACCACTTTGCCCAACATGAGGTTGTAAGTAAACCCTTTTTAAGGTAATATAATTTGTATCATTATTATAGGGCTGTGAAACCCATAGCCGAATGGCTTCAGACTGAGCATTTCAAATATTTTACAGTGCATTCAGAAAGTATTCAGACCCCTTGACCTTTCCCACATTTTGTTACATTACAGCCTTATTCAAGCAAAAAGAGGTTTGCAGAAATGTTTGCAAATTTATTCAAAATAAAATACTGAAATATTAAATTTACATAAGTATTCAGACCCTTTACTCAGTACTTTGCTGAAGCACCTTTGGCAGCGATTACAGCCTCGTCTTCTTGGGTATGACGCTACAAGCTTGGCAAACCTGTATTTGGGGAGTTTCTACCATTCTTCTCTGCAGATCCAAGCTCCTGCGTTGTCTTGGCTGTGTGCTTAGGGTCGTTGTCCTGTTGGAAGGTAAACCTTCACCCCAGTCTGAAGTCCTGAGTGCTCTGGATCAGGTTTTCATCAAGGATCTCTCTGTAGGAAACCTGGCACCATCCCTACGGTGAAGCATGGTGGTGGCAGCATCATGCTGTGGGGATGTTTTTTAGCGGCAGGGACTGGGAGACTAGTCAGGCTCCATTCATCTTTCCCTCGATCCTGACTAGTCTCCCAGTCCCTGCCGCTGAAAAACATCCCCACAGCATGATGCTGCCACCACCATGCTTCACCGTAGGGATGGTGCCAGGTTTACTCCAGATGTGACACTTGGCCAAAGAGTTCAATCTTGGTTTCATCAGACCAGAGAATCTTGTTTCTCATGGTCTGAGTGTCCTTTAGGTGCCTTTGGCAAACGCTAAGCGGGCTGTCATGTGCCTTTTACTGAGGAGTGGCTTCAGTCTGGCCACTCTACCATAAAGGCCTGATTGGTGGAGTGCTGCAGAGATGATTGTCCTTTGGAAGGTTCTCCCATCTCCACAGAGGAACTCTGGAGCTCTGTCAGAGTGACCATCGGGTTCTTGGTCACCTCCCTGACCAAGGACCTTCTCCCCCAATTGCTCAGTTTGGCTGGGCGGCCAGCTCTAGGAAGAGTCTTGGTGGTTCCAAACTTAAGAATGATGGAGGCCACTGTGTTCTTGGGGACCTTCAATGCTGCAGACAGTTTTTGGTACCCTTCTCCAGATATGTGCCTCAACACAATCCTATCTCTGAGCTCTATGGACAATTCCTTCGACCTCATTGCTTGGTTTTTGCTCTGACATGCACTGTCAACATCGGGACCTTATATAGACAGGTGTGTGCCTTTCCAAATCATGTCCAATCAATTGAATTTACAACAGGTGGACTCCACTCAAGTTGTAGAAACATCTCAAGGATGATCAATGGAAACAGGATGCACCTGAGCTTAATTTTGAGTCCCATAGCAAAGGGTCTGAATACCTATATAAATAAGGTATTGCTGTTTTTTATTTTTGATAAATTAGCAAAAACTTCTAAAAACCTGTTTTTGCTTTGTCATTATGGGGTATTGTGTGTAGATTGATGAGGGAAAAATATAATTTAATCCATTTTAGAATAAGGCTGTAACGTAACAAAATGTGGAAAAAGGGAAGGGGTCTGAATACATTCCGAACGCACTGGATTTTACGGAGAGCAATTTCCGTTTTATAACAGGTAGTGTCCATTTATTTACAGTAGTGTGTTGATTAATTATTGCTTTATTTAGTGGAAATACAGAATATGTCTAAAAATGTCAAATATACCAAAAGCTAAATCAAGCAGAAATGTACGACTATTTAACCATGTTAATCATTACTGAAACAGTTTAAGACAATGAATTCATCACAACTAGATACAAATATTTTATAAAAAATAATTCATACAAAAGTCAAGAGTTGGCTATAACAAAGTGAGTTTGTGTATATGTGTGTAAGTGTTTGTATGTGTGTATTATGGTGTTTATAATAATTTCCCATCATAAAAATGTATCCACATTCCCCAATCAAATATCTTCATCGATACCACAATACAAAAAAATATTTATTTTCTCTCAAATCTGGCAACCCTCATAAAATTTGACAGACTTGTATAAAATGCATTAAGAAAGATATGGTGTAATGTACATGAAAAAGTGGAGCGTTGTATTAAATTTATTATGAAGAAAATTGTGTAATGTAGGCTCCACGAAATATGAAATGCGTTATGAAGGAAATCGTGTAGGCCTACTGTTGCCTACACGAAAAAATGGCATTTCTGACTACAACTGCACAAAATCTGTTGAAATACTTTTTTATTTTTTATTTTTTATTTTTACATATATGCACGAATTGATTGTGAGATTGTGTTGTTTTGTGAAGTAGTGCCTAGCCATGCTGACAAGTCTTTTGGTGCTTATTCGTCTACATCTGTGATTAAGGTCCTGCATTTAGCCTTTATTGCCCACAGAGGACGCTGTCCTCTCATTATTCATCTATCATTGGGCATGCTCTATCATGTAAATTAATATCAATGAGTGAATATACATACCGCATTTACAAAGACTGCAATCTGAGGAATGAATGAACAAAATTGATTTGATAAAAACGGATGACTATCCAACAAAGAAACATTTTAGAAATCCATAAAGTAGAAATATGACTAGAATTGCTCATTGGTGACATATTTTAGGCTTACAGTTGGCTAACCATGACTGTTTCTGAGACCATTTCAGAATGCATTTCTAAATGAATCAGCAAAAACAATTGACACTTCGAAAACAGTGTTCAGATCTCTGACGAAACAAAGTAAACACAGATGACTCTTCTTATTAAATCGTTGGGTTTAATTGGGTTTAATTGTACTAATTAAGGGGCAAATTCATAAACTGTGTCTGAATTGTGTATGGTTTACCTTTATTGAGGTAAACCTATGTCATAGCATACGAATACACACAATTCAGGCACATGCGTCCCGTGAGCCTTTGTGTCCCAATAAGCAATGCAAATAATTGCAACTGGACTACATTTGGAGTTAGGCAAGTGATTAAAGATGCGCATCCAATTCACAATCATTTGATTGCAACAATATTTTAATTAGGCTATATCTAAATGTAAATATATATTCCTTATTCTGTAAACCTTTTATAATAGGCCTAGTGATAATGTGGACATCATTTGCAACCTCTTTCAATAGAATTGTTGGCAGATAGTCCATGGGGGAAAAGGTCAAATTATTTTTATCAATTTAACTTATTCACTCCAAATTGTGTTAAAACATGACACCTGGAGGGAAATTATCTTGTCTGTGCTGTAATAACGAAAGTTTGTATCCTACCCTGTAAAACTATAATAGCTATCATATAAACATAGTCGAATGAATCGTGTAAGTGGAATAGGCCCTATGTAGGTAAATATTTTGCACAATATTTTGCGTGTAGCCAATTATGGGAACATTTGAAAAATGTATTTACTGGGTAATAATCAAAATATATATTTTCCCAAATGTGATATAATCCACAATATCCTACTTTGTTGTAGGCCTATCGTTATCTGAACACATGAAGCTCTATTTTGTTGGTGTTTGTGTTAGGAAAATGGCCATTATAAAAAGCAGAACTCACATCCATAGCTTGCCGAAAATTGTTCTTGCTCTTTCTGAATCTATGCTATATTATCGATAACTATGAATCAGACCACAACCTCAAAATCCCCTAATTCATAATCACTATAATGTTTTTTAATATTGCTATTTTTTTATTTAAAAAAATTATCTCCCCAAACCCTGCATCAAATTGTGATATAGGCATACTCTGCTATTAGGCTATAGGCTGTGTTCGGTGAGAGTAATTTGCCTATTGTAGCCTACTTCCAACGAAGCTCATGCCAAACATTTCATTTTGTGCTAACAACCCTGTCCTCATTTGCTATCTAATTGGACTATATAAGACCAATAACACCAGAAAGCTACAGCCTACAGCCAAAGCGCAAAGTTAGGGTGGACTTCGTTGTTATCGTGTAGCCTACACCCCCTCTCTCTCTACCTCGCTCTCTCTCTCTCCCCCTCGTTCTACTTCCCATCTCTTCCTTAATCCCATTTGCCATTGTACATGCCCAATCGCCGTGTACTTTCCGCATTTAACTTGGATGACATTTTTATTTCATCATTAGCATCCGGCGCCAGACTGACGCTGTGGACACAGTTGCATTTTGACAAAGGAACGCACAAGACTTGGATGCAATATCGGTATTATTTTGTTCTCTCTGAAGACTATTTACTTTTCTGATGTGTATTTTATTTTTGACGTTCTCGATCATCGGGTAATCAAGAAGATATTCCGCATTTAAAACATCATAAAGAAGGACAATTACCGGTCTTCTATTTTTATAATATCACTGTTTCTAAGTCTTTTAACACTTACGTTTGTGGTCTAAGGCATTCGGACCACAACCTCCAAGCAGCAATGCCCGAGACGGCGCAAGAGACGTGCACTCCGGTGAAAGACTCTCCCTTCTTCATTAAGAACTTGCTGAACTGTGATAGTAAACCATCCAAACCCAAGCCCATCTTCGCCTCGGCAAAGGTAGCTTTAGAAGGGGGCTTTTCTCTATCCCAGGTCGGGGACTTCAACTTTCCTCGCTTTGAGTTACCCACACAGAGGTTTGCCTTACCCGCGCACTATCTGGAGCGAGCCTCAGCATGGTGGTATCCCTACACACTCAGCGCAGCCAGTCATCTACACAGAACCGAAGGTAAGTCCATGCACATCTGATTGTCTTCTTTACCTTTTACACTACCAGAAAACGTATAATGTGCGTAATTTGTATAGTGGAAATTGCTATGAATGCTATGGGTTGAGCTTTCATCTGTCAAAGGACATTCAAACAAGGATAATCATTCTTGAACTAAATCCATATACTCAGCAAGTATTTTGTCACTTATGATAAGTATTTCATTCAAAGTAAAGCCATTGTCAGCATTGTATGTTTCTATTTGTCTTTTGCGCGTTCAAGTGAATGGTATAGCCAACTGTTATTTTATATATTTGCTAAAGCATATCCAGTGTCAACGAAGTATTGAACATGCAGCCATGTTTATAACCCATATTTCCTGTCGTCATTTTAGTTGCCGAGAAGGCACGAGCAAGAGACTCCTCTCCCACCTCTGGCACCGATCGCGACTCGCCAGACCTGGTGCTCAAATCTGACCCAGACGGCAAAGAAGACGAGGACAACAAAAGTGGTGATGAAATAGTTCTTGAAGAGAGTGATCCCGAGGACACAAAGAAACACAGTGGGGTAGACGACTGGAAGAAACACGAGGACGGTGGGGACAAGAAAGCATGTCGAAAAAAGAAAACACGCACGGTGTTCTCCCGGAGTCAGGTGTTTCAGCTCGAGTCCACCTTTGACATGAAACGCTACTTGAGCAGTTCGGAGAGGGCCGGATTGGCTGCGTCTTTGCACCTGACAGAGACCCAGGTAAAGATTTGGTTCCAGAACAGAAGAAATAAATGGAAGAGGCAGCTTGCCGCTGAACTAGAAGCTGCAAATCTGAGCCACGCCACTGCACAGAGGATAGTGCGAGTGCCCATCCTCTACCACGAAAACTCTGCCTCAGAAACTGTCAGTGCGACCGGGAACGTGCCTGTGAGCCAGCCGCTCCTCACCTTCCCTCACCACCTCTATTACTCTCACCCAATCGTCACCTCTGTGCCGCTACTCAGACCGGTCTGAAAAACAAGAGGTTGTTGTCTATATTCCTAACTCGTACAGAACACTACACAAGACAAACTGAAACAATATTTTTGTAAAGAAGAAAAGAAATAGAAAAAAGAGAGCCATGCTTTCTGTCAAAGAGGACCTATTGCGCATTTTTTTATTAGAGTGCAGTTTACATTGTCTCTGGTATAATTTCACACTATTAGCATATTGTTGTTATTATTAATATTACAAGTATTATTATTGTTATAATTATAATTAGGCCTATTATTATTGGGCCTTTTATTATTATAGCAGCTTTGAGATAATTTCCGCTAAGACTATCCAGTTCACACTGCCCCAAAATACATTTCAGCAAGCCTGTTTTCCCGGCGCAGAACCATAACATTCCGGAAATTACATTGGAGTTAATTTTGTTTCATTTCTATTTACAACGCGGGGTGTTATTTGGTGTGTTATAACAATTCGGTAACATTGGTTTGTTTTCTATTGGACAATGTGATTTTGATATGGGCAATACTGTAAACACTAACATTTGACCACAAGTTATGTGATAGACCCATTCATTTCATTGTGTTTTCTCTTTTCTCAACTATTTAGGAATATCGGACAGATTATCGAACGGGCTCAACATTATCTTTTTACTCAAAACGCTTTAACAGGGGACAATCAAGATACACTGTTTTATGTACAATATAATTGTAGCTTATAGGCTTATTGTTTTGATATACTGATTTTCATTTATGCTTGCTCGACAATGTCCTTATAGCACAACTAAGAATTTAATTTCATTGCCTTTTGTGTTTTTGAAACATTAACATGGTGTACAAATGTATATGGATATATTGAATCGAGTCAAGGAAAAGAGCTACCAGTTGATGCTATTCCATTGAACAGAAATACACGTTTTGATATTGTATTGTGAAATAAATGGAGGTTATTCCATATTTAAATATTTCAAATCAGTGCGTACTCAAGAATGCACAATTATGTAATTAGGTGTAGTCTACATATGACTCGGGCATCTATTCTGAAATGTCAAATTTTGCCCGTTTGCCTCCCAAACAAATTAGGCTATTGTCGACTTTTAAAACGTCTTCATTAACAGGATTTATTGTTGCATAATGAAAATGAATATAACTAAACAAACAATAAAACTTTCCATCAAATCTTTATTATAGACCCAATATAATTGTTGTGGCTTTCAAAATTGTCATGTGTGAGATGAAATCAATATGCTCCTGGCATATACAAAGAAGAGGATATTCTGCCTAAATACTGTGTCTGATCATAAGTCAATTCTCATTACAGAGGCTCGACTGGGTCTATCTAACAACAAGTGCTACTGGTCTGGCAGACCACGTGGCCGACACTCCACCGAGACACACTACCATAGATAGCGGTGGTTGACTGAATAAGAGTATTACAATTTGGATGCTAGACATATTATATACAGTATATTGAAACATTTATCATTTGAACAAACATGGTGGAAACTGTGAATAGACCATGTAGCCTATGGACATCATAAAAAGTTAGAATTAATCAAAATTAAGCATTATGCATATACATTGGCGCAACTTCACAAACTTAGCTATTAAAACCACTCACTGACCTTTTTTATTTGCTTTAATTATTAGTAACTAGTTCACATTTAATTTGTCATCCATATTGACTGTAAATACAGGTAGGCCTACCTCAAAACCGCACGCTTATTTTGGTAGATCCATAAATAATTATGTGAATGAAGAACATGAGCAGGTGCGTAATCAACCTGCTGTTATGTACTTTAAAAGTTGTTTTACATAAAAATGTATCGGTCAATTAGATGCGTAACTGCCACCATCTTGACGAAATTATGCGGTAATGTATTCTATTCAAAAGAGAAAAATGGCATTCCCTAATACTAGGCTGTTCAAACTTGTGTGTGTGTGTGCATGTGTATGCGTGCGTGCGTGCGGCGTACGTGAATGCGTGCGTGCGTAACGCCAGGCTAATTTTAACATTTAATTTCAAAAACGTATACGTTTAATTTTGCAACAATAATCGTATTACTTGTGGATGCAGCTTCTATGTCTGTCTTCGGTAGCGGACAGGTGCAATTAGCCCACCAAATATGCAATTTGTCTTTGACGTAATGGTTGTATTGTCAATTTTGGCTGTGTAGTTTCAGGTGGGTCAACAAAACCTAAAGGCCTAGAGTTAGGGTTTGCTCAATTTGGTTTCATGTTCCAAGGGTTTAGTTTGGTAGCATCTGGCTATTCACACACCAGTGCCAATGTCTCTGCAGTGCTCGTGCATGCCTACAATTCACCTGTGGAAGGTTTATGACATAGAAGTAGAGCTATTGCAAGTGGTCGAAAAGATACATTTATGTTGAGTAGTTCTCCCAAGTCTTTCGATCACCATAGGCCACATTAATGTTTTAGGAAGTCGAAAGGTTTTGATAGCTATATGACAACGATTGACTCAGACTCTCTCCTCAAACCTTCACATTTTGTATCCACGTTATCTTGTGGACTGACTTTTTCCTTTTAAAACATAAGGACATGTACTTTGCTAAATCATAATGTTTCACCGATTTAATGTCAGTCACTCATTCTTCCTTTATTGTGGACGAGATAAATTTACATAGCTGCAACATTAGTCTAAAATAAAGTTTTGAAGTAGCGAAATATTTAACACATTTATTATCTACAATGTTAAGTGGAATAATATAAATATCAATATGCAACGAGTTGACTATGCAATTACTGTTGAAAATTAGGCCTACTTTGTTATTTTATTCAGCATTCCTTCAAGCTGAGTAGAAACCAGTCAACGCTTTGCCTCAAAGGTCATTTTCTGATTTTGTCTCTAATGCAGTGATCGAAAACAAATCAGTAGCTACTCTATTATGACTGCATCACTAGACAAAGAGCGCATTCAAATATCGTCTGATAATCACTCATGTATTGACGTATTATATCATGCAAACTCAACATGGACCCATTACAGAGAATTAATAGATTGGTATCTATGGCGTTCTTCCCCTAGCACATATTGATCTACAAACGTAAAAAATATTGTTACAAATAAGGGCATTGTTCACGGGCAGTTTTGGTTGCGCTCATGACCTTGATTTGCGCGCATAAATTGATAAAATGACAACTCGATAATTTCCATTTGTAGAACATATTTATGTAAAGTAGAAGGGGCGAGAGCAAACATAGGATAAAGTAGCCTACATTTGCAGAAGCAGGGCAACGGACGTAACCGCAGGAAAGTTGAGTGCTGATCAAGTGCCAACAGCTTAAGTATTTTCAGCCCTTTCCTGAAACCCTGGGCATCTGTTCACGCATAGCAATTTCTTTACCGTATGTAGGCATAATTATGTTCATTGAGCTTAAAGGGAAAATCCACTCAAAAACTACCTTTTGGTATTTTTTAAATTAGTCCACTGTTGATACAGTCCCAAAATGTTTTGCATGTCAGAAGTCAAGTTTGAAAGATATTGGACTTTCAAGAAGCAAAGTGTCACAGGCCACATCGTGATGATGCAAAATGCATTAGTCAGGAAAATACCAATAGATAGTTTTGGGGTGGATTTTCCCTTTGATATCAAAAGTTTGTTTTTATTTTATACATTATTGACAAAATGATGCCACGATATTTACAAGTGTATGCAGGCTTGTGGCAATGTCTAAGCAATTCGTACATTAGCCTACATGAATACACTTTCTGTAATTTCAAATATATACAAATGTCCTATGCAAATGTTTTAATGTGTTATAGGTGAGAAGTGGATGCTTCAAATCCATCTACTATCATCATTTTTTTCACCCTTATTTTACCAGGTAAGTTGACTGAGAACACGTTCTCATTTAAAGCAACGACCTGGGGAATCAAATTCGGAGATGTATGAGAAGATGTTTTATGTTGCTTGCTGCCAAGTTTGGATGAATTCTCTGCCAAATTGTACATATTTGATCATCTTAGTAAAACGTGAGCTTTAGGCATGTTGTTATGGCCTATAGAAACCTAAAAAACACATGTCAACGCGAGGGCACTGGCCTTAGCACAACACTTTCTGGACACACTTATTTTTTAGGAAACGGAAATCTTTAAACTAGTATCCCATTTGCTTGGTGATTGAATGCGAGCATCAAGATTTTCATAAAAGTTATATTAAGTGAAACATAGGTTGCGGGGCACCGTCTGATTGGAACAGTTTAAATGTTAATTGTGTTTTTAATTTGACATATAGTTGCTGTGAAGAATGACACCAAAACGCCAAGGGGCGGTCGATTTTCTTAATTTCTCCCCTAGGAATTGATGAGTCTATCAGGGTAGTAGATTGGAAAGCCATTAAAACTCAATGGTGAGGTTGTTAATTGGAACTTGATGGATATGAGCCCTTGGATAGGCTATACTGATCCAATCTTCTTTACTTTTTGTTTTCCAATAAATTACCCAATTCAATTCCAGCGGAAGATTACATAAATTGGAGCCTACACCTCCAGGGTTCGCGCTCTGCTTTGCTCTTACGACTGCCTCGATCCCTCTCTCTCTCCCTCTCTCTCTCTCTCTCTCTCTCTGCTATTTGAAAAAAGGAGCTGGGCTAGGATCCTTGAATGAAAATCGAAACATAATCAACGTTTATACTTAGAAAATGTATTGATATCATTTTCTCTGGTAATTTCCTTATTTTAGAGTTGGACACATCATATATCATAATACACACGTGTAGGGGTCTTTGTTTGATATTTATCGAAGCTTGATTCTTAGATCAAAGCTGCTCATAACTTCATCGGTCTTTCTAAGACCCTTTTCCCATAGTAAAGATCGTGTTCTGTTATTGCGGTAGGGCTGCAATACAACACCTATCATTGTGATAGAGCACGAACGTCGACCGCGCAATGCTGTTTCTGAACATGTTTTCTATAAGTCAAATGTACAAACGTCTTGGACAGAAAATGACTGCAAATAAGAGAGGTGAATACAGGATCTTCAGAAACGTTAGAATTAATTTGAATGACACAATTACCTTTATGCAGGCATATAGGCCTACAATGAATTATAATGCCATTTATTTTCTTTTGATAGGCTATCATGAAAAATATCTTCAGATTTGTTTAAATAACCTCCTAATGCCTGTGGAGTTTAATTTGTATTCAATTGTTTGATTAATTATGTAATGATTTCTTGTTAAGGATAGCGTATAGGGGTATAATTAAAACTTTAAAAACACATCGCTGCTGTTGACAAAGTCTTTGTTTAAAAAGAGCGCGTATACAATCAGACCATTTAACTGTCATCGCAGATTTCACGCCTTATGTGTAGTCACCGTAAATCCAGCGCAATCTGACTGCCCTCATATATTACCCCAGTAAATATAGCTAGCCTACGTCTCGGTGGACATATTCGTTCTTGACAATCACACGAGGGGTTTCATCATCACCTCATCAGCACCCTCATCATCGTCTTCATTATCGTCTTCATCATAATCGTCATCCTGTTACTCCTTCCACCTATCAAAGGATTAACAAAACCACAATACAAAACAATATTGAACAGAATAAGGAGAAAGGCTGGGGTCGTCAACCCCTCCCTTGGCGCAGCAGCATGAGGGTTAGGGCGCTGACATTATGATTAAAGCTGACCGTTTGTAATGTGTCTGGGGTCCCTTAGAAAGCAGTAAAGAGGGATAATGTGCTAGAACTGCGAACTCAAGCCCCGCAGCTGCCCCGCAAGACACAGTCAGAGAGAGAGAGGGAGAGGAGGAGCAGGGGCGGAGCGCGCCCCCACCCTCCAATCAATTAGTCAATCAATTAGCAGGCCTCTACTCCACGCGAGGCAGATTAGCTGTATTAATGATCAAATTAATTCCTAATCGCAGATAGTGGACGTGGAATTAGTTTATTATTTTCAGGAAAAAATTGTTAAGGTTCCGTATTAGTTCCAGAACTGTATGTTGGATTATCTGACCAATTTACCATGCACAAGGCTAATACAATACTTTCCATTCCTTCAATGAAGTCATTGTGCAGTACTTGTGTCTACAGTGGCCTGTAATAGCATATTGTGCATTTTCCCCCGAGGGTGTTTCAATGGTATGCTATTATTCAATTTTAACTAATTGTGTTAGGGATATGGGGTTTGTTCTTTGAGGGAATATTCCAAACAAAGCATTTTACATTAGTAAGTGAAAAGGTTTAAATGATAGTCTATATCTATATCTAGAATAATAGGCAAAGGGAGAATCATGACCAAACATCATGCCGATGTAAAACATGTAGAATATTATTCTCTCCATTCACTTCAACACTATAAGTATTGCAGGGGAAATAATAAGGGTCTACTACAGTGTAATAACAATTTGTTATGTTGTCTTGCAATAGGCCTATTTGTGACAATATTAATTTGTAAAATTCCATCAACAAAATATTTAATACTTGTGATTGAAAAAAAGGTAAAAGAAAAATCACTGAATCTCATCGTTAAAATACTCATTGTGACTTCCATGGTTGCACCTGTTTCAAATTTTCTCATAGCCTCGTGGGTGGGGAATTCATCCCCAGTCTGTCCCCTTAAATTGTGAATCAGGCCCACGTATTAGGTAAGGAATTTGCTACAGTTCAAGTTGTGTCAATATATATCACACAAAAACAAAACAAACAGGCACAAAAAAAACGACACACAACATAAGACTTGAAAATTAGAAACCTTTCCCTACACAAAATTCATAGCCTAAACAATTCTCTCTTTTCAACCAAACGTCCAATGTAATTTAATGTAGGTTATAATAAGAGACATGTTGCATCAGTTTCTGAATGAAAGTCGATGGATATTATGCATATGCAAAACGTCATGTGCTGTATGGTCCTCTGTAGCTCAGCTGGTAGAGCACGGCGCTTGTAACGCCAAGGTAGTGGGTTCGATCCCCGGGACCACCCATACACAAAAAAAAATGTATGCACGCATGACTGTAAGTCGCTTTGGATAAAAGCGTCTGCTAAATGGCATATTATTTATTATTATTATTTCTGGCAGAGAGAGAGATGTAGTCTGTTGAAGTAATTTAATAGTCTGACATGTGTGATTTGCCTGTGCCATAAGGCCTATATTTGTCTTCCTTCACTATCGGATTCAAAGAGGGACCAAAAATGGAATAAACCACAGCCTGTACATATTTGTCCTTATCTCCTCTCATCCTATCTCAGAACCTCAACATGAGTTTGAAATTTCCGGGCTTAGTTTGAGCGTGTGATTGGCCCACGAGGAGCTTACCTACATGCAAATGAGGCAACGCCACAATACTGCCTTTAGTCCAGAGCGCGTGGAAGTAGACCAGGAATACATTCATGTTCCCTGAGCTCCAGGAAAAAACAACCCAAGCCCCTACATTTCTAAAAAGGGTTTACAAAAAAAAAAAAAAAACGATTTTACACAAGAGGAGTCCTCACAGACCAATAATAAGAAAAGAAAAAATAATACAAAAACTATACGATATAGCCTAATCTTACTGTTATGAGTCGAGAATGAGTACCACAGAAGACAGCGGAAGCAAGTGCTCGTCGGCCCCGATTTCCACCTTCACTATTCAGTCGATATTGGGCAAGTCGTCGGAGAAGCCACGATCGGGGGCGAAGGAGAGTTCCAAGGGACTGCAGCTGGCGAGGACGCGCTCGCTGTCGGTGTCTTCCGAAGAGGAGTGCAGCGGTGGGGAGGACTCTGCAGACTGTTTCTGCTCGGTTCCTGGTCACAGCGAGCCATGCAACCAACATCAACCACTTAATTTTTCATGTTTAGGTGAGTAGATTACTGAATGTAATTTGTGTTCCGCGTAAAACGTAATAATTTTTCTTTAATATTGATTTTTCTTGAATAGATTTTCCTCGCTGACATTTTGCCTTCGAAAATAAAGGCTTCCTTTCCAAGTTAAGTAGGCTATATAATGTATAAATCCATGGTATCTAACGGGATATTATTATTATTATTTAAATTTTTTATTATTAGGCTATTATTATAATAATAATAGGTCAACAGTAGACTAACGCAGGCTAGGCCTAATTATAAACTTATTTATGATAAACTTAGCCTAGTACTTGTTGAAGTTTAAGCTTGTAAACTTCGATAACTCTATAGTAGTTATCGACTGCAGATATGTAGGCTATCACTTCACTTTGTTTAATGTGTTGTATTACTGCTACATCAGCGAACAGTGGAAAGGTCAAATAATTAACAGGATGCTTCCCCCGTCATTCCAAATGTAATCGAGTCTTCTAATTGATTAAACATGTTTTCACAATGACTGCACTACATTTCGTCAATTGAGCGTTAAATGTAACCTGATTTAATTAATATTGTTTAATTAAAAGGCCAATTACAACCTTTCAACGGTCAATTAATGAGTCAAAGTTCACACTTAATGCACTCTTGTACCGAGTATCGAATAATGTTAGTTTTAATAGGGATTTTCTCCAAACCTGGGTTGGCCAACACAAAACATTTGAAAAATAAGTGTGAAACCTTTGAGACATATTCTACATTTTGTGACACATAATTGATAAGCTGATCTAAAGGCAATAGACTAAAGCGTCCAGTAGCCTATCTTATGGTGATGCGTTTATCTTGAGGGTAGGCCTACACCATTTATCAATGTTGATAGGCTATAGATGATATGGAGGAGGACATTGGGAAATCAGTTTGTTGAAATAGTTAGACAATATTTTCTTTTATTTCCAACGCACCTTTATACTGGTCTTTTTCTCCAATGCAGGTGCAACCAAGGGACTTATTTCAGGCCATGACGGGATTGCACGGCGACCGCGCTTGACACAGCCTCTGCTGCAGGATTACAAAGAGGAACAAGAGATACCATGCAATCCAATGTCACCTATTTCCGAGGAGAGACAGGCAGACGGTGCTGACAAGCAGAGTAACTCGTCCAAGAAGAAGACTCGTACTGTCTTCTCGCGGAGTCAGGTGTACCAGCTCGAGTCCACGTTTGATATGAAGAGGTATTTGAGCAGCTCCGAGCGAGCCTGCTTGGCATCAAGTCTACAGCTAACAGAAACTCAGGTGAAGACGTGGTTTCAGAACCGCAGAAACAAATGGAAGCGACAACTGTCGGCGGAACTGGAGGCTGCGAACATGGCACACGCATCCGCACAGACACTGGTCGGAATGCCGCTTGTTTTTAGAGATAACTCCCTGCTCCGGGTACCAGTTCCAAGATCTATTGCTTTTCCAACGCCACTGTACTACCCTGGCAGCAGCCTACAAGGGTTACCACTGTACAATCTGTATAACAAGATTGAATATTGACTCAATGCCTGTGATGACAGTCCACAAAAATAACACGTTAACACACGACAGTACTTTCTTATAAATGTATGCCATAACTCACGTCTATTATATCACGTTATTTGTTGAAAATATATATGTCTTATTATGCAGCAACTGTATGTTTAACAAGAAAGCAACAAGCTTCTCTAAATGTATAAAATACACCATGTGTATAATCATTATTTTGTACCTTGATTTTGCGTTCTTCTCCCTTTTTAACACGTTATATTGCGGGAATTTAGACACTGCAATACAGATGTAATCAAGTGGACTATGTTTCCCAAACGAATTATGGATGCATTCAAAAACCGTTTTAAATTGAATGTGAATATGAAATATTGAGGTCCAACTACCTTAATCTGTCAAAATACTGGAAGAAATTGGGTTTACACATCTGGGTATAGGGAAGTGCAAACTCGTTGCTTCCATTTTGGGGAAATGTTATTGTTTTTATTTTAATCATAGGCCCACCAAATAAACTGCTAATTCAATAAATGTTCAATATCAATGAAACATGAGTTTGGATTTATTGTACATTTCCCGTTTTTAATATTTATTTCGACAACTCAATTGTGGCATTCAATCCAGTTTTTGAAAATCAGGGAACGAAAAACGAATTTCATTTGTACAATGGTTATATAAAATAGCTTACTTATTTAAAATATCCACACTGCAGCACAAAGATTATTAAGTCAAACCTATATTTGTTCTGTTTTCTGGATAACTTTCTGCCATGGAAGATTCATTCAACATGACATCCAGCTACAGTTGGCCAAACTATTTTATAAACATATGACTCTGCAACTAACTAGGCCTCTAAAGGTGAACAGTGATACGAAAACACCCTCTTAGCCAGTGTCATAAACTTCCAGTATGCCAGAATTCATATGAAAAACTTAAAAACATCTAGATTGCCTGGTAGCCTAAAAACAATGTAGGACACTGTTTTTCCGTATTCAACACATATTTGTCAAATGTGAACAATGTAATACTGTACTCTAAGCCTCATAGGTCTGTTGTAACAAGTGCTAATTTGCCTACTACTAACAGTGTTACTAACAACATGTGCTATTAACAACAAAGTGTTGTGAACATGTTTTCACAATAAGGGGACTACAGTAAAAAAAAAAAAGATCTATGTATACAAGTGATTTCAGGTGTAGCCTTCCACTGCAGTATTACTGGCTGCAGATGGGTTTATGTGCTGCTTCCCCTCAACCATGGGTACATAATGAGCTATAAGGTCGTGTCAAACACTTTGGTTATATTTATGTTGCCTGTCTTAAACATAAAGACTCTTTTCATCTGTCATCACAGTCCTTTGGCAAGTTAGCCAATGTGAAATGTGTCATATGCACTTATGAGAGTGTCAACTCAGTGGTCTGCTTAACCAATTGCAGGGGGAAGGGAAAGAGATGTACACCATCAGCAGCCAATTAGAGCCATGGCAGCATATTCTGACATTTGAAGTGTGCAATACAGGAACTTCTAGCCTTGTTGGAGGAAATGTAATAAGCAGTGCTATTGTTAAAGTTCAAGACTTACTGCATCCGTGTGTGATGCTTTTCCTTTTCAAGATAGCCACCACTGTATCGGTTACAGTGAAAAATACTTGTTAACAGATTAGCAAATTGTCTTTCTGGCCAAGAAACCTGTTTTGAAATGGCATACCACTTTGAGTGTTTATAGGGTGAAAAATATATATTTAGCTCTCAAATCACTGATTGTTGTAGGCCCAATTGGTAGCAGTGTCATTCTCTATTGCAGGATTACAGTCTAGTTGTAACAAGTGTATACTGTACAATATTAGGTAATACATAAATAATAACATAGGCCTACAAGAATGGGGCCAACTCCATTTCAACTCAGGTCAATTCATGAAATGAATTGAAATTCAAGCAATGTAAAACCTTTGCCTGGAGCTTAGATTGATTTTAAACTTAACAGACAACCTAGGTCAGTTTCTACCAAGGTTAATATAGTAAACTAAAACTGAAACTAAAACTAAACTAATGATGAAAAAATAATTTAGTAAACTGAAGTAAAATAATTAACAAACGCACTTGAAAAACCAAAGCTATACTGAAACTATTATCTTTGACTCCAAAACGAACCAAAATAAAATAAAAAAACATCATGAATTATGTTCAGGTAGAGATTTGTGTAAAAAAAAATGGGGCAATTTTTTAATGTGGTTTTCAAGCTTTTTTTCCGAATAGGGTTTTAAAGCTTCTGAATCTGGTCGGTCACATTGAGATATATTTTAATTTAATGGTATACTCAGCGAGATGACTTGCCATGAGCAGCACCGCAGATATTGGCCGAGTTCCCTTGCTTAGACGTTGCTTGCATCAACCAATGGTCATTGACTGTGCAATCGGGCATCAAATTACTATAACATGTTGGTCATGTTCCTCTGCTCATGTTGCTGACGCATGCCAGATCTTACAACGCCTCAATGGGTATTATACAATACATATCAGCTAACCACATATGGTATAGCAGTCTGGTGCCCGACCGCCCAGACAATGCCGTGTCAAGCAATCATTGTTTATGCATGCAACGTCTGAGCAGGGGAACTACCATGATGTGGTTAGCTGATATGTAAAATACCTATCCAGGTGTTGTAAGATCTGGCAACTGTCAGCAACATCTGAGCAGAGGAACATATAATATATATAATAATATAATATATAATAATAATAATATAATAATAATATATAATATGCCATTTAGCAGACGCTTTTATCCAAAGCGACTTACAGTCATGCGTGCATACATTTTTTTTTTTGTGTAACATGCCAATTGAGATGAGCATGATGCAAGACTTTGCTCTCACACAGTCACACAGTTTCTGCGCATGTGCACGGGTGAGCTTCATGCTACAATGTGGTAGCTATGGGACCAAAATAGCAGAGACGTTTATCCTCGCGATTCAATGCTCCTGGTTGTTGAGGAAATTGACCCACTACTACTGTTTAATTGGTGCATCTTTGTCATCTCGCTGAGTCTACCTTTAAACCTAACCTAACCTATGACCTGACCCATCACTTTATGCATTACTGCCCCACAGTGGCAAAAAGTGACATTCCAAAAAACTCAGAAATTGTACAACACAAAAATGGCTCCTAGCCTAACACACATGGGCTACTTTCTTACCCTTACACTAAAACTACAACTAAATAATAGACAAATGAAACGTTTTTATTAACTAAATAAAAACTACTAAATCTGATCTGAAAACTAACTGAAACTAAACAGAATTTCTAATAAAATTCTTAAAACGAATAGAAATAAAATGAATATAAAAACACAGAACTATAATAATCTTGGTTTCAACTATTGAAACATACATATTACGCACATTTTAGTTTTCCATGCCTACCAATAAGGCTATGAAAAAACTGAAAGCTATTTTGGTACCATTGTACAATAATGCAGCACATCGACAATGGTTGGATATACACATTTTGGAAATAACTCTGTCTTTTTGTATCTTTTTTGTACCTTTGCTTGCTCTTACAGTATTAAACTACACTATTTGGTTTCTCTTACGTTAATAGGCCCAATCAAACAACACACACACACACATAATTTGGTTGCTCTTACGTTAATAGGCCCAATCAAACAACACACACACACACACACACACACACACACACACACACACACACACACACACACACACACACACACACACACACACACACACACACACACACACACACACACACTCACACACACACACACACACACACACACACACACACACACACACACACACACACACACACACACACACACACACACACACACACACACGCACACAGACACAGCTTACATCGTCCAAGGGATCTCCCTCTCCCTCTCTCTCTCTGTGCTAATGGCTATACATTACCCTGCAGCATCATGACTAGCGAGGCTCCGTTGCCCTGCAGTTTATTCCTGACCCAATTCCTGCAACAGCCGCCCCGTGTTCTGGGCAAATGGATTGCATTAGACAACAGAAGTGATTTATGGGTAACTCTGATGCTGGCGGAGAGGTGCAGGGGGATGAATTTGTGACAGATAGGAGAGGAAGAGAAAAGAGAGAAAGAGAGAACGCTCATGAATAGGAGCAATAGTGTTGGGTGAATGAAGCTGTTTATTAGTTTCACAACGGTCATTAAGCCATCAGGTTTGACGGTAATACACTACTCTCCTGAATGGATGTTTGCGCACCACTGACTTGTGGGAAATCTGCATGACCTGTCACCTGGTGTTGTTTGATTTACAGGAGATAGATCGAACGGATTGGAGTGACTGAGCAGTGAGAGAGAGAGAGAGAAATAAATAAATAAAGTGAGAGGGCCTTGTGTTATGCATCTCCCAAATGGCAGGTATGAATTACACATTTTAATAGTGAGGCAATGAAAATGATTTGAAGTGGTTTAAACGACAAAGAAACAGCGGCTGGAATCACGGTGAAGATTTCTTGAGATGATGTGTTGTGCCTTAGGATTCATCAAACCTGCCTGGTAAAGTGAAAAGCAAGTGTAATTCACTTTGTGGTATAATTTATGGCAAGAATAATGGTAACTGTAGAGCCTGTGGAGAAAGAGGGGCAGGGGAATAGGATGAGCTGAAGGATTCCCAGGATATTTCTTTCATCCCTAGAGGAATCTATCTACAGGATTCATAATGTTTACATTTGACTCAGCTTTTCCCATGTGGCAGTCCTAAAATGGATACACAAATAACAATAATTTGTTTAGCTATAGGACTGTATTATAGTGTAATTCTGTTCCAGTTAGACTGCACGTTTGATCTGAAATACAAACAATACCAATATCATGTTTGACATGGCTGTAACAAAGTGGCATGTCATCATTCACACTTTCTGTTGGCTTTATTATATTTGTGTCACCCCATGTGTTACTGTTTACATTCCTAATGAAATACCATCCCACTGGGCACAAACTGGTTGAATCAACATTGTTTCAACGTAATTTATCAACGTATCGTGACGTGGAATCTATGTGGAAAATAAATTGGATTAAAAAAAAAAAGTAATCAATGTAAACTGTTTTGAGGG